AGCTAGAGCTTTCTGAAGTCAGGGCTTGAAAAGCTCTTCCAAAACTAAAAATTCTTACAACAGTGTTTCGCACACAAAATTTGTTGTATTATATATATATATATATATATATATATATAAATATATATATATATAATATTATATATATATAATATAATATATATATATATATATATTTATATATATATATATATATAATATAATATATATATATATATATATATAATATATAATATACATAATATATATTTAAATAATATATATATATATATATATATTATATATATCTATATATAAATATTAATATATACATATATATATATATATGCATATAAATATTATATATGTAATATATATATATAAAATTATATAATATATATATTAAATAATATATATATATACTATATATATATATAAATATATATTATTATTATATATATATAATATTAATTCTATATATATATATATATGACCTTCGTGTAGTAGTTAGGCTTTAAACCCATTTACACAGCCTGCAGAAACTTCCTTGGATCTAGATCCCTTAAGCGGCATCATGGGTGGCCAGCGGCAGTGTAGTGGCATGGGTTGGTGAGCGGGTGGCAACATGCGGGCGGGTGGTGTGGAATGGGTGGGTGGCGTCAACCTGGGTGTCAGAGCTCAGTATCTCGCGAGACTTGATCACAAGTGGAGGTCAGATCCTCAGTGCCGCGAGGGAACTTCACAGCTGCTGTTGTTGCTGCTGTGACTGTTGTTGCTGTTGTTGTTGCTGCTGCTGTGACTGCTGTAGTTGTGGCTGCTGCTGTGACTGCTGTAGCTGTGGCTGCTTCTGTGACTGCTGTAGTTGTGGCTGCTGTTGTGACTGCCGTTGCTGTGGCTCCTGTAGTTGTGGCTGCTACGGTGACTGCTGTTGCTGTGACTGCTGTAGTTGTGGTTGATGTTTCGACTGCTGTAGCTGTGGCTGCTGCTGTGACTGCTGTAGTTGTGGTTGATATTTCGACTGCTGTGTTGTGGCTGCTGCTGTGACTGCTGTAGTTGTGGCTGCTGCTGTGACAGCTGTAGATGTGGCTGCTGCTGTGACTGCTGTAGTTGTGGTTTTGGGGGGGGGTTTTTTGACTGCTGTGTTGTGGCTGCTGCTGTGACGCTGTAGTTGTGGCTGCTGCTGTGACAGCTGTAGTTGTGGTGAGCTGTGGACTGATGTAGTTGTGCGATGCTGTGACTGCTGTTTTGTTTTGACATGCTGTGATCTGGTGTTGTGGCTGCTGAGTGACTGTGTATTGGGGCTGCGTTTGTCCCTGAGAAAGTTGTTGCTGCTGTTGACTGGTATTGGGCTGCGGGCTGTACTGCGAGTTGTGGCTCGGGTGACTGAGTAGTTGTGGCTGCTCGTGACTGTGTGTTGTGGCGGGCCTTAAACCCCTTACTGTCATGTTTTTTGTGGCTGCCTCGTGACTGATGTAGTTGTTGTTGACGATTATTGTCTGCTGTATATTATTGTGGCTGCTGCTGTGACTGAGTAGTTGGCTGCTTGTACTGATGTAGTTGTGGCTGCTGCTGTACTGATGTAGTTGGGCTGCTGTTACTGTGATTGCTGTGCTGTATGATTAGTTTGGTGCTGCTGTATATGTAGTGTGCTCTTTTTGACTTGTAGTTTGGCTGTAACTGTGATCAAAATGTATTGTACTGCTGTTGTGCTGTAGTTGCTTGCTCTGTATTTGTTATAAACTGCTGATTAAACTGCTGTGTAGTATTTCTGTTTGTACTACTACTATATTATACTACTGCTACTATTATTGTGCTTACTTACAATTAAATTTCCCTTCTTTCCTTCATGTCTCCCTTTTTCTCCCTTTCCTCCTCCGCTTCCTATCTTCCCTTCCCCCCCTCTTCCTTCAGTTTCCTCCTTCCTGCGTTCCTCCCCTTTTGTCCCCTCCCTTTCCCCCCTTACTTCCTTTCCTTCTATCCCTCCTCCTTCCTACTCCCTCCTTTCCTTTTTTCGTTGTCCTTTTCCCTGCCCTTTATTTTCCTTTCTCCTTCTCCTCCTTTCCCTCCTTTTTCCTCCCGCTCCTTCCTTCCCTCCTTCCTTCTCCACTCTCTCGCCTTCCTTCGCCCTCTTTCTTTTCTTCTTTCCTCACCACTTCCTTCTTCCCCCCTCCTCCTCCTCCCTCCTTCCCTTCCCTCTCTCCTCCTTCTCCTTCCTCTTCCTCCTCCCTCCCCCTCTCCTCCTCCTACCCTTCCTCCCTCCTCCTCCCCCCCCCTTCCCTTTTTTCCCTCCCCCCCTTCCCTCCCCTCCTTCCCTCCTCCCTTTTCCCTCTCCTCCCTCCCTCCTTCCGTCCCTCCCTCCTTCCTTCCTCCTCCTCCTCTCCCTCCTTCCTTCTTCCCTCTCCTCTTTCCTTCCTCCTCCCTCCTTTTCCCTCCGTCCTCTCCTTCCTCCTCTCCCTCCTTCCTTCCCTCCCTCCCTCCTTCCTCCCCCCTTTCCCTCCGTTTTTCCTTCCCCCCCCTCCTTCCATCCTTCCCTTTCCCCCCACCCCCCCCCCCTCCCCTTCTCCCTTTCCCCCCCCAAACCTTCCCCCCCCCTTCCCCTCCCTTTTCCCCCCCCCCCTCCCTTTTCCCCCCCCTCCCTTTTTCCTCCCCCCCCCCTTTTCCCTCCCCCTTTTTTTTCCCCCCTTTTCCCTTTTCCCCCTCCTTGTTTTCCCTCCCCTCCTTTTTTTGTTTTCCCCCCCCCTCCCCTTTCCCCTCTTCCCCTTTTTTCCCTCCCCCTTCCTTTTCCCTCCCCCCCCTCCTTTGTTCCCTCTCTCCCTCCTTCCCTTTTTTCCCCCCCTCTCCTGTCCCTTCCCCCCCCCTTCCCTTTGTTTTCCCTCCCTCCCTTCCTTTTTTCCCCCCCCCCCTCCTTTTTCCCTCCCCCCTTCCCCCCCTCCCCTTTTTTTTCCCCTCCCTCCCCCCCCTCCCCCCCCCCCCCCCTTTTTCCTTCCCTCCCTCCCTTTTCCCCCCCCCTTTCCCCCCCCCCCCCCCCTTTTCCCCCCTTCCCCTTTCCCTTCCTCCCCCTCCCTTCCTTTTTCCCCCCCCCTCCCCCCCTCTGCCCCCCCCCCTCCTTCCTTCCTCCCCCCCCTTTTTCCTTTCCTCCCCCTCCTTCCTTTTTTCCCCCTCCCCCCTCCCCTTCCCCCCTCCTCCCCCCCTCCCCCCCCCTCCTCCCTCCCCCTCCCCCTCCCCCCCCCCCCTCCCTCCCCCCTCCTCCTTCCCCCCTCCCCCCCCTTCCCCCTCCCTCCCCTTCCCCCCCCCCCTTTCCTTTCCCCTCCCTTCCCTCCCTCCCCCCCTTCCCCCTTTTCCCTCCCTCTCCCCCCTTCCCCCCCCCTCCCCCCCCCTCCTTCCCCCCTCCCTCCCTCCTTCCTTCCCTCCCTCCCCCCTTTCCTTCCCCCCTCCCTCCTTCCCCCCCCTCCCCCTCCCCCCCCTCCCCTCCCCCCTTTCCCCCCTCCCCTCCCTCCCCCTCCCCTCCCTCCCACCCTCCCCCCTCCCTCCTTCTTCCCCCCTCCCCCTTTCCCCCTTTCCCCCTCCCTCCTCCCTTCCCTCCCCCCTTCCCCCCCCCCTCCCCCCCCCTTCCTCCTCCCCCCCTTCCCCCCCCCTTCCCTCCCCCTCCCCCCGCCTTTCCCTCCCCCCTCCTTCCCTTCCCCCCTCCTTCCTTCCCTCCCTCCCCTCCTTCCCCCCTCCCCCTCCCTCCCCCCCTCCTTCCCTCCCCCCCCCCCCCCCTTCCCCCTCCTTTTTCCCCCCCCCCTTCCTTCCCTCCCTCCCTTCTTCCCCTCCCCCCCCTTTCCCCTCCCCCTCCTTCCCTCCCCCCTCCTTTTCCTCCCTCCCCCCCTCCTCCCCCCCCCCTCCTTCCTTCCCCCTCCCCCCCCTTTCCCCCCCTTCCCTCCCTCCCCCTTCCTTCCCCCCCTCCCCCTCCCTCCCCCCCCCTTCCCCCCCCTCCCCCCCCTTTCCTCCTCCCCCTCCCCCCTTTCCTTCCCTCCCTCCCCCCCCCCTTCCTTTCCCCCTCCCCCCCTCCTCCCTCCCCCTTCCCCTTCCTCCCTCCCCCCCTTTCCCCCTCCCCCCCTTTCCCTTCCCCCCCCCTTCCCCCTCCCCCCCCTCCCCCCTCCCTCCCCCTTCCCCCCTCCCCCCTCCCCCCCCTCCCCCTCTTCCCTCCCTTCTCCCCCCTCCCCTCCCTCCCCCCTCCCCCCCCTTTCCCTCCCCCCCCCTCCCTCCCCCCCTTCCTCCCTCCCTCCCCCCCCTCCTCCCCCCCCCCCCCCCTCCCCCCTCCCCCTTCCCCCCCCCTCCTTCTTTCCCCCCTCCCCTCCTCCCCTCCCCCCTCCTTTCCTTCCCCCCTCCCTCCTTCCCCCTCCCCCCTCCTCCCCCCTCCCCCTCCCTCCTCCCTCCCCCCTCCTTTCCTCCCTCCCCCTCCCTCCCCCCCCTTTTCCCCCCCCTCCCTCCTCCCTCCCCCCTTTCCCCCTCCCCCCCCCCCCCTCCCCCCTTTCCCTCCCCCCTCCCCCCCCCTCCCCCCTCCCCCCTCCCCCCCCCCTCCCTCCCCCCTCCCCCCTCCTTCCCCCTCCCCCTCCTTCCTCCCTCCCCCCCTCTTCCCCTCCCACCTCCCTCCCTTCCCCTCCCTCCCCCCCTCGCCTCCCTCCTTCCTCCCTCCTCCCTCCCTCCCCTCCCCTCCCTCCCCTCCCCCCTTCCCCCTCCCTCCTTCCCTCCCTCCCTCCTTTCCCCTCCCTCCCCTTCCCTCCCTCCCTCCCTCCCTCCTCCTTCCTTTCCCTCCCTCCCTCCCCCCTCCCCCTCCCCCCTCCTTCCCTTTCCCTCCCCCCCTTCCCTCAATCCAAATTAACTTTTACAAAAATCATGTCGTTTTTTATAAATTTTTTCCCCCCGGTTACACTGGCTTTGCTCTTTTAAAAAGCAAAAATTCCACGGGAATTGTATTTACACAATTCGGTATTATTTACTTCCAAAGGGAAAAAATTTCGCCGGGACTTCCACTGTAAATACGCGAATGATCTGATGGGTAATGAGAAGCACAAAAACCCTTTCTGTTTTCTTTTTCCCTTTGTTCATACACCTTAGAAGCAATAAAGGATTATCGTGTATTGTTTACTTCTGTCTAGAAAGTAGATAGAAGTAGATAGTTCTAGGTAGATATTTTTAATGTGGACTCCAAAATACTCTGCCATCTGTCTTTCCCATGTACTCCCATGTACTCTCATGCACTCCTAAGTACTTCCATGCACTCTCATACACTCCTATGTATTCCCATATACTCCCATGTGATTCCGTTTACTACCATGCACTACCAAGTGCTGCCATGTACTCCCATGCACACCCATGTATTTCCATGTACTCCCATGTACACCCATGTACTTCCATGTACTCCCATGTACACCCACGTACTCCCATGTACACCCATGTACTTCCATGTACTCCCATGTACACCCATGTACTCCCATGTACACCCATGTACTGCCATGTACTCCCATGTACACCCATGTACTTCAATGTACACCCATGTACTGCCATGTACTCCCATGTACACCCACGTACTCCCATGTACACCCATGTACTGCCATGTACTCCCATGTACACCCATGTACTCCCATGTACAACCCCATGTAACTGCCAGTACTCCCATGTACACCCATGTACTCCATATACTCCCACGTACTCCCATGTACACCCATGTACTCCCATGTACACCCATGTACACCCATGTACTTCCATGTACACCCATGTACTCCCATGTACTAAAAATGTCCAGTAGCCAAAAAGCTTCAGAGTCAGATGTTTTATCAAACGTGTTGCTTTAAGACTCAGAGCTTTAATAAAGCCGTGAAGAAACTCAGGTAGGACTAATAAAGTCCTAAAAAAAATAATAAAAAGTGAACTACGCTTAATAAAGTTTAATATAACCCAAAAATAGAGCTTCATAAAGCCCGGAAGTGAGCTTAATTAAGCAACAATAAAAAGGAGCTTTGTTGAGAGTATTTTCAGACTCTCTTTATCTTTTCTCACACTTAAATTATCAAAAGAGAGAAAGTGAGCTGATTTTACACAGCCAAATTTTTTTTGGCCTCGTCGGGAAGAAAATTCAGTATTAGGCCTATTATTCTGCTCGAGAAAAAGCTCATTTTCTCAATGTCTAATGTCTTATTTGCGCCTATAACGTAGGCCTCTATAATTTTTATTATTCATGGAGTTATGAGAAATAAAATTTACAATTTTGTGGTTGGAATAATTCACAACTAATCCACAATTCACAATTTTGTGGTTGGAACAATTCACAACTAATCCACAATTCACAACTAATTCACAATCCGAATTACCACACAGGTGTGAGAACACAGAATGTGTGGCAACACAGGCGTGAGATCACAACCGTGAAAACACAGGTGTGAGAAAAAATCATGTGTGAGAACACAGGTGCGAAAACACCTGCGACTTTACCCAGTGAAAACTGTGAATCCCAAATATAATTGAAAAAAATGGCATGCAAAACACGATGAACAACGTCATTTACACACACACATTTACACTGTGTGAACAATAATGTAAAACGATAATAAAATATCACAGTTTAGTACCCATGATCTGTAAATACTATATATATATATATATATTACTATATAAATATATATATATAATATATAATATATATATATATATATAATATAATATATATATATATATATATATATACAAGGAATTCGCAAGAGCAGGCGAATTCCTTGCATTGTTAAAATCTCTAGTAAGGCTGATGCATGCACGGATGAGATGAAAAGCTGTAAGCCTTCCCGAAAGCTAGGCTGCCTTGGATCAAAGTTAGCGCAAGCTGGGCACCAAGGTATTGTCCGTTGGTAATTGGTAAGCACTCGTACCTTGTTCCAAGTTCGTAGGTTCGAGTCTCCTTCGTAGATAGTTTTGTTATATTATCAGCCTTTTGCGAATTCTTATATATATATATATATATTAATATATATATATATTATATATATATATATATATAATATATAATATATATATATATACAAACATATAATCCTTTTCAAAATTCCTGTGATGACAGACGAACAATGAACTAAAACAGTCGGTTTTTAGCAACAATGACGGGACAGGACAGCGAGTTCCTTGAAGCGTGAAGAGGATAAACACGTCACGGCTCGAACCTCCGTGACAGAATCTCCGTTTTACGTCTACAAAGCAAAAACACAACGAGGGAGAGAGTTAAACGCGAAGGACAAAACTTGCGGATGTTTTTTTTTTTTGTAGGCGTGGGGAAAAATACCCTAAAAGTGAACGCAGAGGCTAAACCCTGAGACGATGTTACAGACCGGAGCGTTCACAAAGGTGTTCATCATTACCCACTCTGTTTTAATGGGTGTGCTTACCTAGTTGAGACTTCGAGGGTTGAGTCTACGGCTCCTCTCACCCCCGTCTGCATATGTGTGTGGATCTTCGGCCTCACACTGACACAACAACTTCTCAAAAAAACAGGTCAGTGATATCTCACTTTTCAGATAGAGAATTAGATTTGACCCGGGATCAGAATTTGGGCTCGTGAGTTTAATATTAATTATTAAAAGCAGATCATATTTCCTTATAAATATAATTTGACTGTAATAACAATAAGGATAATAATAGAATAATAAAATTATCATTATTGTTATTGTTATTGCTATTTTATATTATTATTATTATTATTTATTATTATTATTATTATTAATTATTATTTTAAATTTTTATTATTATTATTATTATTATTAATTTTATTTATTATTATCTTATTATTATTATTATTATAGAAACAATAATAATAATTTTAATACTAAAAGCAGTAGTAGTGATAATAATAATAATAATAAGAAGAAGAAGAACAATAAGAACAAGTACAAGAAAAACAAGAACAAGAACAAGAAACACATCAATAATAATAAAAATAATCACAATGAAAATAATAATTATAATAATTTATTAGCACATGATAAATATCTTTTACAAAGATGGATAAGAGACCATCTGCCACATGGATAGCAGCTGGTTGGGCAGAGAATTTATGGCAGACATTTATATAAAGGAGATAATTGATGATAATGATGATATTTTGTGTCAACATTGATGAGCTAAGTGCAGTTGGTCTTTAAATTAACAAACTAATGAACAAACTAATTCTGGGAGGAAGTCAGGTATTTACCGATTACTCACCTGTCAGTCAGAATGTTTGGTTCGTCACCTGTGTTGACTAATAACGTGAGAGTAAGGGAGTAAGATTGTGTATTATTATTTATGTAAATTTTTGAGTGTGTCTGTGAGTGTCACTAACATAAACTTTACTGTGTGTCTGAGTGTGTCATTCTTATCAATTTTGAGTAGGACTGTGTATATCTGTGTGTGTGTGTGTGTATGTGTGTGTGTGTGTGTGTGTTTGTGTGTGTGTGTGTGTGTGTGTGTGTGTGTGTGTGTGTGTGTGTGTGTGTGTGTGTGTGTGTACATCTGTTTGTCCGTGGTTCATATCAATTTTGAGTTTGAGTTTACGTCTCTCATAAACTATCCTTCCCTACCAGTGTTTACAATAAACCTATCATTATCTCCTTCAAAACCACAGTCTATGAATTCAATTTAAGTCGTAATGAACGACTGTCCATGAAGCTCTGCGGTAATCTCGAGACCACGGTTCGAGTCCTCCTATCCTCTCACCTTCCTGTTTATTTGTTGAGAGAGAGAGAAGAATTATATTAATTATTATTATAATCGAATGTCATTAAATGGAATAGAAAATCACGGAAATGGAATTGGGAATACGGTGCTACAAATGGTAATAAGAGAAGAGAAGACAAGACAAGACAAGACAAGACAAGACAAGACAAGAGAGAAGACAGAAGGGAAGAGAAGAGTGTCTGACTTTTGACGTTTGCCGTTTCAGTGGATTATTGTACCCAGGTATCATCATACGCAGGTATCATCATACCAAGGTATCACCATACCCAGGTATCATCATACCCAGGTATCATCATACCCAGGTATCATCATACCCAGGTATCATCATACCCAGGTATCATCATACCCAGGTATCATCATACCCAGGTATCATCATACCCAGGTATCATCATACCCAGGTATCATCATATCCAGGTATCATCATACCCAGGTATCATCATATCCAGGTATCATAATACCCAGGTATCATCATACCCAGGTATCATCATACCCAGGTATCATCATACCCAGGTATCATCATACCCAGGTATCATCATACCCAGGTATCATCATACCCAGGTATCATTATACCCAGGTATCATCATACCCAGGTATCATCATACCCAGGTATCATCATACCCAGGTATCATCATACCCAGGTATCATCATATCCAGGTATCACCATACCCAGGTATCATCATATCCAGGTATCATAATACCCAGGTATCATCATACCCAGGTATCATCATACCCAGGCATCATCATAGGCAGGTATCATCATACCCAGGTATCATCATACCCAGGTATCATTATACCCAGGTATCATCATACCCAGGTATCATCATACCCAGGTATCATCATACCCAGGTATCATCATACCCAGGTATCATCATACCCAGGTATCATCATACCCAGGTATCATTATACCCAGGTATCATCATACCAGGTATCATCATACCCAGGTATCATCATACGCAGGTATCATCATACCCAGGTATCATCATACCCAGGTATCATCATACCCAGGTATCATCATACGCTGGTATCATCATACCCAGGTATCATCATATCCAGGTATCATCATTCAGTTATCATCATACAGGTACCGTCATACGGGGGATGAGACATAGTGTACCATCATACCGTGGGTGAGACACAGTGGTACCATCATACCCTGGGTGAAACACAGTGGTACCATCATACCGTGGGAGAGAGACAGTGGTACCATCATACCGTGGGTGAAACACAGTGGTACCATCCTACCGTGGGTGAGACACAGTGATACCATCATTCCGTGGGTGAGACACAGTGGTACCATCATACCGTGGGAGAGACACAGTGGTACCATCATTCCGTGGGTGAGACACAGTGGTACCATCATACCGTGGGTGAGACACAGTGGTACCATCATACCGTAGATGAGACACAGTGGTACCATCATACCGTGGGTGAGACACAGTGGTACCATCAGACCGTGGGTGAGACACAGTGGTACCATCATACCGTAGGTGAGACACAGTGGTACCATCATACCGTGGGTGAGACACAGTGGTACCATCATACCGTGGGTGAGACACAGTGGTACCATCAAACCGTGAGTGAGACACAGTGGTACCATCATACCGTGGGTGAGACACAGTGGTACCATCATACTGTGGGTGAGACACAGTGGTACCATCATACCGTGGGTGAGACACAGTGGTACCATCATACCGTGGGTGAGACACAGTGGTACCATCATACCGTGGGTGAGACACAGTGGTACCATCATACCGTGGGTGAGACACAGTGGTACCATCATACCGTGGGTGACACACTGTGGTACCATCATACCGTGGGTGAGGCACAGTGGTACCATCATACCGTGGGTGAGACACAGTGGTACCATCATACCGTGGGTGAGACACAGTGGTACCATCATACCGTGGGTGAGACACAGTGGTACCATCATACCGTGGGTGAGACACAGTGGTACCATCATACCGTGGGTGAGACACAGTGGTACCATCATACCGTGGGTGAGACACAGTGGTACCGTCATTACCGTGGGTGAGACACAGTGGTACCGTCATACTTGGGTGAGACACAGTGGTACCGTCATACCGTGGGTGAGACACAGTGGTACCGTCATACCGTGGGTGAGACACAGTGGTACCGTCATACCGTGGGTGAGACACAGTGGTACCGTCATACCGTGGGTGAGACACAGTGGTACCGTCATACCGTGGGTGAGACACAGTGGTACCGTCATACCGTGGGTGAGACACAGTGGTACCGTCATACCGTGGGTGAGGCACAGTGGTACCATCATACCGTGGGTGAGACACAGTGGTACCATCATACCGTGGGTGAGACACAGTGGTACCATCATACCGTGGGTGAGATACAGTGGTACCATCATACCGTGGGTGAGACACAGTGGTACCATCATACCGTGGGTGAGACACAGTGGTACCATCATACCGTGGGTGAGACACAGTGGTACCGTCATACCGTGGGTGAGACACAGTGGTACCATCATACCGTGGGTGAGGCACAGTGGTACCATCATACCGTGGGTGAGACACAGTGGTACCATCATACCGTGGGTGAGGCACAGTGGTACCATCATACCGTGGGTGAGACACAGTGGTACCATCATACCGTGAGTGAGACACAGTGGTACCATCATACCGTGAGTGAGACACAGTGGTACCGTCATACCGTGAGTGAGACACAGTGGTTCCCTCATACCGTGGGTGAGACATAGTGGTACCATCATACCGTGGGTGAGACACAGTGGTACCGTCATATCGTGGGTGAGACACAGTGGTACCATCATACCGTGAGTGAGACACAGTGGTACCATCATACCGTGGGTGAGACACAGTGGTACCATCATACCGTGGGTGAGACACAGTGGTACCGTCATACCGTGGGTGAGACACAGTGGTACCATCATACCGTGGGTGAGACACAGTGGTACCATCATACCGTGGGTGAGACATAGTGGTACCATCATACCGTGAGTGAGACACAGTGGTACCATCATACCGTGGGTGAGACACAGTGGTACCATCATACCGTGGGTGAGACACAGTGGTACCGTCATACCGTGGGTGAGATACAGTGGTACCATCATACCGTGGGTGAGACACAGTGGTAAAATCATACCGTGGGTGAGACACAGTGGTACCATCATACCGTGGGTGAGATACAGTGGTACCATCATACCGTGGGAGAGACACAGTGGTACCATCATACCGTGGGTGAGGCACAGTGGTACCATCATACCGTGGGTGAGACACAGTGGTACCATCATACCGTGGTTGAGACACAGTGGTACCATCATACCGTGGGTGAGACACAGTGGTACCATCATACCGTGGGTGAGATACAGTGGTACCATCATACCGTGGGTGAGACACAGTGGTACCATCATACCGTGGGTGAGGCACAGTGGTACCATCATACCGTGGGTGACACACAGTGGTACCATCATACCGTGGGTGAGGCACAGTGGTACCATCATACCGTGGGTGAGGCACAGTGGTACCATCATACGTGGGTGACACACAGTGGTACCATCATACCGTGGGTGAGGCACAGTGGTACCATCATACCGTGGGTGAGGCACAGTGGTACCATCATACCGTGGGTGAGACACAGTGGTACCATCATACCGTGGGTGAGACACAGTGGTACCATCATACCTGGGTGACACACAGTGGTACCATCATACCGTGGGTGAGACACAGTGGTACCATCATACCGTGGGTGAGACACAGTGGTACCATCATACCGTGGGTGAGACACAGTGG